TCTCTCCATACTGAAAACTGACCATTTATTCTTACCCTTTGTTTCCTATCTTTTAACTAGTTACTGATCCATGAGATGACCTTCCCTTTTATCCCATGACTGCTTACTTTGCTGAGCCATTACAAACATTGAATCTATTTCCTCATGTAAGTATTCTCACATGTCTTATCAAACTGTCTGTACTGGGCTAATTTGATTATCACTTCAAAAGTTTTTTTCTCTTACTTAATTGGCCTCTTAGAGTTGGTAGGACAACTCCCACCTTTTCATGCTCTCTGTATATGTATATATATATCTCCTCAATATATGTTCCATCCTATGCATCCGAAGAAGTGGGCTGTAGCCCACGAAAGCTTATGCTCAAATAAATTTGTTAGTCTCTAAGGTGCCACAAGTACTCCTGTTCTTTTTACTTTGTTTAAGAGCCTTTGGTGAGGGACCTTGTCAAAGGGTACATCTACACTACAGCGGGGAGTCGATTTAAGATACGCAAATTCAGCTACGTGAATAGTGTAGCTGAATTCGACGTATTGCAGCCGACTTACCCCGTTGTGAGGACGGCGGCAAAATCGACTTCTGCCGCTTTTTGTCGGCGGCGCTTACTACAACCTCCGCTGGTGGAGTTAGAGCGCCGATTCGGGGATCGATTGTCGCGTCCCGACGGGACGCGATAAATCGATCCCCGAGAGGTCGATTTCTACCCGCCGATTCAGGCGGGTAGTATAGACCAGACCAAAGGCTTTCTGAAAATCTAAGTACACTGTATCCACTGGATCACCTTTGTCCACATGCTTGTTGACCCCCCTCAAAGAATTTTAGTAGATTGACGAGGCATGATTTCCCTGTACAAAAACCATACTGACTCTTCCCTAACAAATCATGTTCATCTATCTGTCTGATAATTCTGTTCTTTACTACAGTTTGAATCAATTTGCCTAGTACTGAAGTTAGGCTTACTGGCCTGTAATTGCTGGGATTGCCTCTGGAGCCCTTTTTAAAAATTGGTATCACATTAGCTATCCTCCAGTCATTTGGTACAGAACCTGATTTAAATGATAGGTTACAGACTACAGTTAGTAGTTCTGCAATTTCCCATTTGAGTTTCTTTAGAACGCTTGGGTGAATACCATCTGGTCTTGGTGATTTATTACTGTTTAATGTATCAATCTGTTTCAAAACCTCCTCTAATGATGCCTCAATCTGGGACAGGTCCTCCGATTTGTTACCTAAGAAGAATGGCTCAGGTGTGGGAATCTCCCTCACATCCCCAGCCATGAAGACCGATGCAAAGAATTCATTTAGTTTCTCCACAATGGCCTCATCTTCCTTGAGTGCTCCTTTAGCAGCTCGATCATCCAGTGACCCCACTGTTTGTTTAGCAGGTTTCCTGCTTTGGACTTTTTTTTTTTGCTGTTACTTTTTGAGTCTTTGGCTAGCTGCTCTTCAAATTCTTTTTTATCCTGCCTAGTTATATTTTTACACTTCACTTGCCAGAATTTATGCGCCTTTCTATTTTCCTCCATAGAATTTAACTTCCCCTTTTTACAGGATGCCTTTTTGCCTCTAACTGCTTCTTTTACTTGGTTGCTTAGCCTCAGTGGCACTTTTCTGGTCCCCTTACTATGTTTTTTAATTAGGGGTTTTCATTTAAAATGAGCCTCTATTACGATGTCTTTAAAAAGCTTCCATGCAGCTTGCCGGGATTTCACTTTTGGTGCGGTACCTTTTAATTTCTGTTAACCTACTTCTTCATTTTTGTGTAGCTCCCCTTTCTGAAATTAAATATTACTGTGGTGGGCTGCTTTGGTGACCCCCTCCCCATAGGGATGTTAAATTTTCTTACGTTATGGTCACTATTACCAAGCGGTTGAGCTATATTCATCTCTTGGACCAGATCCTGTGCTCCACGTAGGACTAAATCAAGAATTGCCTCTCCTCTTGTGGGTTCCAGGAATAAGCTGCTCCAAGAAGCAGTCATGTAAGGTGTCAAGAAATTTGATCTCTGCATCCAGTCCTGAGGTGACTGTGACCCTCTGTACTCCAAAGCAACACTCTGGCACCTCCATATTTACCATAGTTTTAGGATTATGATATGCTTTGTACAAAGTATGCCTTGTGAGGTATCATTTTAAAAGTCTTGATCTGTTGAACATTAATACCCTGTTGGATTGTATGTGCTATCATTGTATGGGAAATTATGGAGTTTTGCTATGTGTGTGTTACTGAAATATGTTGCAAGGTTGGGAACACCCACAACCCGCCTTTCAGGTATAACAATGGAGCAACCAGACACTGATAATGGCCCATTAAGAGGAATACAGACTCACAAGGACTACTCCAGGAACTGTATACAATGAAGGCCTCTCAGAGAGAGCACGTAGACAATAGAGACTGCTTGATTCACCTCATAGCAAAAGATCCTTCCAGTAAGCTGGAAGAACTATAAAGGAGAGGAAGTGACATCATCATTTGTCCTCACTCCCCCCACAACTCAACACTTGGAAACATATCTGGAGAACAAAGACTGAACTGGGGAGGTGGTCCCAGGCTGGAAAGGAGAATCCCGGCTCTTGTATTAAGGAACTATACCAGGGGTCGGCAACCTGCGGCACGCAAGCCAATTTTTACTGGCACGCTGCTGCCAGCTGGGGTCCCGGCCGCTGGCCCCACTCAGCCCCCTGCCTGCCTGGGTGAACGGAATCCTAGGCTGGCAGCGGGGCCGACGGCCAGGACCCTGGCTGGCAGGAGCCGGCAGCCGGAACTCCAGACTGTCAGCTGGCTGAGCTGCTCAGCCCGCCGCCGGTCTGGGGTGCCATCCGTCGGCCCCGCTCAGCAAACTGCCAGTGTAGGGTTCTGGCCGCCGTCCCCTTGCCAGCCGGGATCCCGTCC